ATAAAATGAACAAAGAAAATTATGATATATTACAATAATGAAAGAAAATTATGATAAAATATGACTTAAAGATTTTTATAACATCATTTCACAGTACTGTACATATAGCCTACTCAACTTACAGCCAAATCATGTTACGACTGGTCTGTCGGAACCGATCATGGTCGTAAGTCAAGCACTAGCTGTACTGGGCACTGTCCTGAGTGGGGAAATAATTTTATTCTATATATTTATGCAAAGTGTCATAAATACACTGGCACTGGAAGGGGTAGGTATTATCCCAACCTATGAATGCACAAACTGGGGTTTTGAGTGTTTAAGTAACATACCTGAGGTCACACAGGAAGTTGTGAGCTGGGGCTGGGAAAGGTGGCTCAGCACTTGGGGAGATGGAGGCAGGAGGATCACTTGAGCCAGTAGCAGGAAAAACAAAATGAGACCCTGTCTCTAAAAATAAAGTTGTAAGCTGGAATTGTTGCTACTACTACTTTGAAATATGCTGGGTCAAAGAATTTGGATGATCAATGGACAAGTTTTGTGTCCCAGAGGAATGAGGAAGTGAGAAAGTTGAAAGTGTAGAAGAAAGAAATCCATGAGCTACACTGTGGGATTTGGGCTAGCTAGGAAAGAGAAGCAGGAAGCAAAGACAGCAACTGATAAATCGGGGAAAGATGGGAAAAGCTCAAGAGTCTGGAGGTCTTAGATGAGACACATGCATAAGAAAGAGAAAGAAAGAAGAGAGAAAGAGAGAAAGAAGAAGGAAGGAAGGAAGGANAGAGAGAAAGAAGAAGGAAGGAAGGAAGGAGAAAGAAAGAAAGAAAGAAAGAAAGAAAGAAAGAAAGAAAGAAAGAAAGAAAGAAAGAAAGAAAGAAAGAGAAAGAAAGAGAGAGAGAGAAAAAAAAGAAAGAAAGAAAGAGAAAAAGAAAGAAAGAAAAATAAAGAAAGAAAGAAGGAAGGAAAGAAGGAGAGAAGGGTTGGGTTAAAAAAAAAAGAGCCTGGATGTCTGGATGAATTTCTAAATAGGAATAGCAAGAGAAGAGGAACTACAAAAGAAAGCCATGGACCTTTTGGAGTAGGGTGTTTAAGTCTTCTAGTATAGAGCAGCACAACTAGGGGTATGGACAAGTGAAAGTCTTGGAATAGAGAGCAAAGAACTCTGTTGAATAGAACATGACCACACCATACCTTGGTGTGATCTCAGGTATTGAATAGGTTGGCTGTGGATACTCAGTGAATGTGGGAGAAGGGCCTAGAGATCTATTGATGACGGAAACAGAGAAATAGAACGTAGAATATTGGCTTGTGAGGAGGAAGGGTTTGGAGTAAGAAGTGGGCAGTTATTGAGTATGTGTGGACCTAGGAGAACTTAGAAATCTTCCTTCTCCTAAAGCAGTCTCTATTTGAAAAGCCCTCGGGGAGGTAGTTTATTCAGAAAACAGTTTTGCTTAGCTAAGATAAGGATGCGATTATAGAAGAAAAAGTGAGAGAATGTGTTATGGTGGAAAGGAGGTTCCAGGAGCATGAGAGGAACCTGGAAAAGTTCAACAGTAGTGCCATGAGTTAATAGAAAAATAGGGAGCATTTTCTATCCTGGGCATGTGTGTGTAGAGGTGGTGTACATTTTCAGCATCATACATGGACAGAGGTGAGTGGCAATAGTTACTTTGGTCCATAGGTTTTTGGTGTCTTAACTAGTTATAGATCTCTACCACTAAAGGAATTGCCTGTTGAACATTGTTAGGAATGTGAGGACTGAAGGCAAACTGCCTAGGTTTGAATTTTGATTCTGCCTCTTGCAACCTGTCTGGGTTCCAATCCTAGCTTTGTTTATTAAGTTCTTTTAAGTTGATGATCTTTGGGGAAATGCCTTAGCTTCTGTTTGCTCATGTAAATGGACACAATAGTTGCTACCTTGTGAAATAAGTTAATTCATGTAATTGCCCAGCATTTACCAAGGAGCAAAGAAGCATCAATGTTCAGTGTTAGCCATTGGGAATTCTGTAGCTGGACTGTGAGGGTGTGTGTGTGTGTGTGTGTGTGTGTGTAGCACTTAATAGCATTCATTAAGGAAAAGATACTTTTTATAACATAGAGGCATCTTTCATCTCTTTTCATGTCAAGAGGGAAGAAGAGAGTTTGGAGGATGTGAATTCTGTTTAATACTAAGCTCTCTTCCTCAAAACCAGAGTACATAGAATGTCTAATAATTTATAGAATTTCTAGACTTCAACAATCTGATTTTTTTGAAAATTTGTTTTTGTTTTCTCAGGTTGAGACTGGGCTAATTTGTTGTGACATTCTTGATGTACACTGGAAAAATACCCCATTCCAGCAGCTAACATTGGCAAATCCAGAGTTTTCTATTATAAAATGTAGGTTCTATGCTAGAATGGAAAATGTAAGATTAAAAGTTGGCCTTTTTAGTATCCTGACTCTTTTCTAGGTAGGTTTCAACTTTTATTTAAGAATAATTGTTTAATGTTAGAAAGATCGTTAATGTTAGAATAAGAAGATGGTCAGGCTATTATAAAAATGTATTAGCTTTTGCTTTACTTATTTATATTCTTTTGCTTTCATGGGACCCATCCCATTTCCCTCCCCCAATGACCATACATTTCACAGTGCTATCTTAATGTTTTATATATAATTTTTGTTTCATGATTAATACACTGTTGTGCCTTTCCTTGGAACCACTGGCTTGTTAATTGTAGTCTAACAAGCGATAATTTTGTGGAGTTTTAAAGGCTCCTCAGTTAATTTCTCTGTGGTTTTTACTTACATTTAGTAATATGAAATTTCTAAGGAAAAAATTGAAACAAAGCCAACCATTCCTGAGAGTGTTTAAAATTACTGAAGCACACCTTTTAATTGTTACATATATTTTTGTCACATTTTATATAACATAAAACAATCAGCTTATTTTCCTTTAAAAATCATTGTTCCTCATTTAAACTTTTTTTTTTTTTTTTTGGATTTTGCTTTTTTTTTTTTTTTTTTTTTTTGGATTTTGCTTTAGGAAAGGGGACTACCACAGGTATCTGGCAGAATTTGCCACAGGAAATGACAGGAAGGAGGCTGAGGGGAATAGCCTAGTGGATTATAAAATTGCTAGTGATATTGCAATGACAGAACTTCCACCAACGCTTCCCATTCGCTTAGATCTTGCTCTTGGTCGGGCGCGGTGCCTTACACCTGTAATCCCAGCACTTTGGGAGGCTGAGGCAGAAGGATCATGAGGTCAAGAGATCGAGACCATCCTGGCCAACATGGTGAAACCCCGTCTCAAAAAAAAGAAAAACAAAAAAGAAACTTGCTCTCATTTTTTGCGTATTCTACTATGAAATTCTTAATTCCCCTGACAGTGCCTGCAGATAAGTTGTGGGGAAGAACAAAAGCTCTTGGTGTGAAGAAGGTGTGATAGTTAATACTGTCAACTTGATTGAATTGAAGGATACGAAGTACTGCTCCTGGGTGTGTCTGTGAGGGTGTTGCCAAAGGAGATTAACATTGAGTCAGTGGGCTTGGAAAGGCAGACCTACCCTCAATCTGAGGGCACCATCTAATCAGCTGCCAGCACAGCCAGAATAAAAGCAGGCAGAAGAATGTAAAAAGAGGAGACTGGCTTAGACTCCCAGCCTACATCTTTCTCCCGTGCTGGGTGCTTCCTGCCCTCAAACATCAGACTGCAAGTTCTTTAGCTTTGGAACTCGGACTGGTTTCCTTGTTCCTCAGCTTGCAGATGGCCTATTGTGGGAACCTTGTGAGTTAATACTTGTGAGTGAATATATATTTATATATTATGTAATTATATATATACTGTATATACAGTGCTATATATCCAGTGACACGTTGGGCCAAAGAGCGGTGTTGGGTATGGGAGAGACTGGAGCTGGGGAAGTCACTTCCTCCGGGAGACACTGTTTCCTGGCAACCGCCCTTCACCTCCGTTATTAGCCCATCCCCTTTATATACATATATATCCGATTAGTTCTGTCACTCTAGAGAACCCTGACTAATACAGCATTGTATTTTACTAAATGTCGTATTTCTTGTTATGCACATTTAGTTTTTCAATACATTGATTTATTAAGTTTATGTCTCAGCGTGACTTGTTTAGACAAAATTGAATAAGTGAAATATTAGCATATTTTAGAGATGTGGAAAAAATATCAGGTACTAGTTTAATTATTAGTCAATGTATTCAGTCAGACAATTCAAATAGGATTAAGCTTTTTAAAAATTAAAAATAGTAAAAATTCATGTTATTTTAAAGATTTTCAATAAATATTTTTGGTTTTTACTTAAGAATTATCTATGCTAATTAAATGATGCTTACTTCGCTCGCTTGAGTAGCACATGGACTTTTAGCTTAGTGGATCATTTTGCGTGTTGTCTGGTTTGATTCGAAAAAGATTACTCGCTAAGTATATAAAGGGGGAAATTTTACATGAAAGTTAACGTCAAATGCGCTTTCAGTTGTGTCCACAGGCGTTGACTTCTCTCCAAGACCTTTGCGGCTTAGTTGCATAAAGAGCGTATCTAATACCGAATGCAATTCCAGGTACTCTTCCAAGTGTTCCACTTGCATTATTTCATTCAATTTTACAGCAACCTTTCAGGTGGTTATTATTAGTACACTTTTTTTTCCCCAGATGAGGAAACTGAGTCATAAAGACCTTAACTTGGACAATCACGTGTGTAGGAAAGGGGCAGTAGGATTCAAACGTGCAGTCTGAAACAGGATTCTGCAAACGTCACTACCGCACTATTCTGTCTCATCCACTGACACTGTACCTCGATTCTCAGAACTTCACGTCCTAACTGTGGCAAACAGCAAACGTGCTTTATCTGCAGCATGTGCAGATAATGACCCTTACTCTTACTGGCGAGGGTGAGGCTATCTGAGTGGGAGTTGGGCGGGTCCTGTCTCCTAGGCAACAGCACGTGCGCACAAGCGGCCAATAATGCACCCCTCTCCCAGGACCCAGGAAGGTGATGTCACTTCCTTCGTCTGATTGGTTGCCCCAGCGACACGTTGGGCCAAGAGCGGTGTTGGGTACCAGAGAGACGGGAAGTCACTTCCTCCCGGAGACGCTGTTTCCTAGCAACCTCCCTCCGCCTCTGTTATTAGTCCCTCCTCCTCGATTGGTCCAGGACCTGCTCTGCCGGCGCTGCCAGGCCCAGGCAGGCCAAGGTGAGCAGCTCCTACCCGAGGCCAGGCTCTTGGTTCTCAGGGTCGCGGGGAACTCGCCGCGGGCGTCGGGGGCTGGGAACCGAAAGCAGGACCTGGAGGCCACTAGGGATCCGGACAGAGACCACACTTGGGCGTGCACCGGCCTGGCGTTAGCTGGGCGTTCAACCTACTGCGCGGTGGGGAGCGGGCGGGCACACGGACGCCACCCGGACGCCACCTGGCCTGGCCGGGAACTGAACCCGGGCGCGCACCGCTCCTGGCGGCCCTGCCAGGCCTCTGTTCCGAGCTCGGGAAACCGCGATTTTAAATGCGGCTCATCGCGAAACCTTCGTCTTTTTGTTTTACCTGGCTCTCTCAACACTTTTGTGAGAGGAAAAAGTGGCTTGCAATAAATATCGCTGGCTGTTCGCGGGTCAGCATGACGATCTTTTTCTTTGAATAGCGCTATATGCAAATATATGAATACATTTTTTTGGTGGTGGTGATCATAATTTTATGCCGACTATCCTTTTGATGGCCTTTTAAATAAAGCATGATTTATTTTGAAGGCAATGTTATACTTTAGAAGAGAGGTGAAAAGGTGCTCTGTTTTAATTGAGAGCGTTTTGTAGTATTAACTTGTAATTATTTATTTGCTGAGTTTTTAAGTAGTTACTAAACTATTTTAGGATAATTTTCATTTGATTTTTTTTTTTAACAAGCTTGTTGTGAGAATTTGATACTTCTTTACCAGAACTCCTTTTACATTTTTAAGTGAAGATGTAGCCTAATGTTCATATGAGATGCTTTTCTTAGTTGGTTTGACTTTCAGGGAAAGAGTAGAATCAAATGTAGTAAAATAAATTTTTACATCTACAAGCATGCAAAATCTGATTTTTTTTTTAATATTTCAGCCACTATCAGAAGTTGAATTATTCTAACCATTAGCTATTTTATAAAGGTAAAGAGATAAAAATACAGTATGTCTGATGAAGTTTTTAGCACCACTTTGGCATATACAAAGAGTCCGAAAGTTACCAAAAGAACTACTTTCCAGGTAAAGTATTTCAAAATATTTTTATTTTGAGTCATTTCACAGTATAAACACTGTATTAGATGTATAGAAATTGGTGATTCTAGGAAGAGTCCTATACAAAGCAGGGGTAAATCTTTCATTTCTTTTGAGGTTTTGCACATGATCATGTTTGTGCTTCATCCATTATTATAAACTCCCCTATATGGTTTTAAGATCACCAAAGTAGCCTCAATACTAGGTTCCTAGTAAGTTAAGTTGGATAGCAACCTTAAATTGCCATTTTTATATAAAAACTTTTTTTTTTCTTTTGTAACATAATGCTTAAATTTTTTCTGTTGAGTCACTACAATTTTGAACTCAGCCTCTGAGTTTGCAATATTGATTGCATCCATTTCTGAAATACGCTGAGACAAGAGCTCTTAAAAATACCAATTTCTTTCAAATGGTCGGGTTTTTTTTTTTTTTTTGATAAATTCTAATCTAAATTGAGCCCCTTCTTGTTTGTTACCCTCCAGCTCTAATCACAACCTGCAATTAATTTATTTGATAATATCTGTCTCCTCTAGTTTAACTGCAAGCTCCATGAGGAAGAGCGCTTGTCTGTGTTGCTCTGCATTGAGTTTGAGGCATAAAGTGGGTACATGACATAAAGTGAGCTTGCAGTGAATATTTGTTAGATGAATGAATCCTAAGTTTGAAAGCAGTTATTAATCAAGCATTGTTTGTTTAAAGAATTACTTGTAAATATGATACCTCCATGTTTGGCTGGAAATTGATTTCAATATCTCATTTCAGGATGAGCTAATAAGAGCAATTACAGCTCGCTCAGCCAGACAAAGGAGTTCTGAATACTCAGATGACTTTGACAGTGATGAGATTGGTATGTGGCAGTATGGAAAAATGAACCGCTTTTCTTCTTTTTGCTTCCTTAGTTTTGTATTTAGCCACCCCCTGCAACCCACTCTCCCAAATCACTTATGTTAAAATAATACCCAGGCATCCACTAGTTTTAGATTTTCAACTTTTTAATTAGTAGAAAGCCACTGTTAATTTTTAAGAAGTTGTATGATTTTTCTTGTTGTGGTTTTTTTTTTTTTTTTGAAAGTGTATATGAAAATATAAATTAATTGATGCCAGGTTTGCAGCAAAAGGAGGGCTGCCAGTGGTAAACCACGTTGGAGAAGACAGATTCATCTGTAAGATGAAGCCTAGGAGGTGCTACAGCTAGTTAGCAACTAGGTCCCGCAGAACTAAACTTTGCCGCACATTGGAAGTACTTTATAATGCTTGCTATAAATCGGATTTTTTTTGGCTATGATAATGGGTCAATTTTAAAAACCACAGACTCTACGTGTTTCATATATCACTACTGTTATAATTTAATTTGGTTTCTCTTAGCCATGTAAAAATATTAACATTTTAGTTTCAGTTGTAAGCATACGGAATTCTAAACTTCATGTTTTATTCTTTAAAATTTGGTGAATAATCGTTAATGATTTCTGTGAAACCCATCATAACCACAGTTAAATCACTGCTGTATAGTTAGCTTAGCATTCCTTATGATTCTCAGTAAAGCTAATATTCTGTTGTGGATGAAATTGTAGTTCCAAAATTTTTAAGGGAAAAAAATAGTAATTACTAATTAAATTCTTCATTTACAAATGTTCTTGATTTCATATGATGAAGTAATTTGCAAATAAAAGTTTTACAGTCCAAAATCGAAATTAAATGCTACATGGGTGATTGTTAGGGACCTTTTGATGAATTTTTCTAGAGCAAACATAGTGTTTACTGCCCTATAGACACACAATAAATACATTTTGAATAAATTAATGAAATTGGAACTATTTCATAAATGTCAATGAAACATGCCTGAGTTAGGTGTGTTTTTAGAGCTGCAAGTCTATTTATAAAATATATTTGTGCCTATTCATTGTTGTAATTTTGTTTGTAGTTTTTAAGGTAATCTTTTTGATTAAGTTAATATAACATTGACAGTTTAAAAAAAAATACTGTTGAAAACATTTTCTCTTTTCACTTTTTCAGTTTCCTTAGGTGATTTTTCCGACACTTCAGCAGATGAAAATTCAGTTAATAAAAAAATGAATGACTTTCATATATCAGATGATGAAGAAAAGAATCCTTCAAAACTATCTTTTTTGAAAACCAAGAAACCAAACAGTAACATAACCAAAGATGAGCTAGTATATGCCATCAAAAATGATGAGGAGACAGCACCTGAAGGGTGTGAAGACATTGTTGTAAAGTCCTCTGAATCTCAAAATAAGGACGAGGAATTTGAAAAAGACAAAATAAAAATGAAACCTAAACCCAGAGTTCGTTCAATTAAAAGCACATCTTCAGGTAATTTGTTAGGATTACTGTAATTACATTTCTTGAAAGTTTATTTTAAAATAATCAGTCCCAAAACTTTTTATATGGTAGCTAGTATATATTTAAGAAAAAAAGACAGTTTAACTTCAGTTTTACACACCTATTGTATTTTGTCTCGCATCTAGGCTGTTGCCCGATAGAAAGCCAGAGCACCTTTAGTCATCCATGACACCCATCGCTGTAGCCCTCCCCATGCCCAGACCTGTGAATTTCAGTTTTGTTTGCAGGCATGGAACTGGAATGGAATCCTGTCTAATCCCTCTCACACTCCAGAGATTAGAGTTACAGCAATATTGAGACTAATCCTTAAAACAGTCATTGCTATACCAACATGGCACCAGAAAATTTTCTTGACATTTGTATATTTGAAGGATGAGTTATGTTGTTGCTGCTGCTCTTAGTTGAAGCTTCCAGGTGCTCCTTGAGAGAATCTCCATTTGGTCTCTGTATGTATGAAAATCTACTAAGATTCAGTTTTCCAAAGGAAAGTTCTGGTGTGATCTGAGATTACAGTAGATTTTCCACAATTCTACTGAACTTTAAGCATAAAGATACAAAAATAGAATGAAACAGAGACCAAGCCCTCTCATGCCCTGGGCTACCATTCATGAACTTGTACATGCAAGTTTAAGGGTTTTGTGTTTTTCAAGTCTTCTTTCTATTTTATAAAGGAATTATTATTATTATTATTATTATTATTTTTGAGTCGGAGTTTCGCTCTTGTTACCCAGGCTGGAGTGCAATGGCGCGATCTCGGCTCACCGCAACCTCCGCCTCCTGGGTTCAGGCAATTCTCCTGCCTCAGCCTCCTGAGTAGCTTGGATTACAGGCACGCGCCACCAGGCCCAGCTGATTTTTTGTATTTTTAGTAGAGACGGGGTTTCACCATGTTGACCAGGATGGTCTCGATCTCTTGACTTCATGATCCACCCACCTCGGCCTCCCAAAGTGCTGGGATTACAGGCGTGAGCCACCGCGCCCGGCCTATAAAGGAATTATTAATTGATGTTAACCTTCATAAAAGTCTCCTTCCAATCTCATCAGTAAATACAGTGCTGGTAAATATTTCATACTTTGCTTATTGGATACTAGTGGTAACATCAGACAAAATTTTATTTCAGGCATATATTAGGGATCTGCTCCTTTCTTCTTGACCCCACAATCCCATTAACTTTGAAATGAGCAAAGGATCTAAGCAGACCAAAGAACACTAGAATAATGTCCAGGACACGGGGGAAAAAAGCCACTGTGTGTTAGTTATATATGACTTCAGCAAATAAGTTAAGCTTCACTATCTTCATGATGAGGAAGCTAAAAAAGCCCTCTTTCTATTCCTGCAAAATTGTTGTGAGACTTTGTTGAAGTGCATCTCATAATCTATTAAAAAAAAAAAAACTACTAAATGCAAACAGGAGGCATAATTAAACAGAATTAACTTGTTAAAATATACCTTCCAAGTAGAGTGAGTGAAATCAAAGCTGGAGAGAAGTGGAACATAATTAAACTTTGTTATTGAGAAAATGCTAGCATATAGCATCTAAAAATTTGTCTGAGACAGGTGGACATATATAATTAGAAGTTTATGGTAGATAATTAGGAAAGCAATAATCTACCTATTTCATACCTTCAAACAAACAAACCTGCCTGTGGTGGGTTAAAAGAGTTCAAATGAATCAGGAAATACTGTATTTTAACCACAAGGTGGCATCAGGATTCTAAATGCTATATGCACTGTTATATTCAGCATGTATAATATAAAAATAATTACCTAAATAGGTAATTGTATAGATTAATTACCAAAAGAGCATTTTTCTTAAAGTATAGGTGTTTTTTCTTTCTGGGAACTTGACAGTACTTCTGGAAGTGGAATTGTTGTAGAAAATTTATTAAAGTCATTCTCATCTTCTTCATGTTGAAGAGTAAAAATTGAGGCTAGTGTTCCTAAGATAATATTTGGCATATAGAATGTATTAAGTGTTTAAATGAATAAGTTGATATATGAATGATTTATCTTTGAAAGAGGGAATATAGTTCATGAGTTTATCCTTCTCTAAATTCTTTGACATTTTTATTACATATATAAGTTTGGAACTCAGTATTTTTAATGTGGTGAGATATTGCTGAATAGCAAGTAATGCTTTATCAAAATATTAGAACTTGAAGGTTTTCTCTGTCCTTGCTTATCTTTTATAAAAAGTATAATAACCAGACCTTACAACCACTACTGAAGTGACAGTTGCTCTATAAAGTGAAAGTATTTTTTGCAGGATATGTTTTTATTTTAATACTAACATGACTGAAATCATGAACTTTGGAATCAGGATGCCTCTCCTTTAATCTGAGATCTGCAGCCTGGTATAGCTTGTGACTTTGGGCATGAGACCTCCTTGTTCTCATTTTATTCATCTTTAAAAATGGGGTAACAGTTGTCTACCTGTAGGAGTTTGTGGCAATTAAATGAGTTCACATATTTGAAGTGCTTAGAACAGTATTGGCATAAATTTACCACTCTATAAATGTTCTGATTATTCATTTTATATTTAGCATTTGTTTATCAACATGCTCAGCAGACATAAACTATCCGTCATGCAGGATGCATAAGTTCTAGAGATCTGCTGTACAACATTGTGCCTGTAGTTAACAGTACTGTCTTTTGCACTTAATGGGAAGATGGATCTCATGTTGTGTTCCCACCACAATAATAAAAAAAATGAACTCAGCACCTTCTTTCAGGCATTATATAATACTCTACTTAAAATGAGTCTCAAAAGGCATGCAAGCATTTGTCAGAAGGAAAAGCAGGAAATTGATATTCTAGGCAGGGGCATCAGCTTGGGTAAAGGTCTGGTAGGAGGGATTGTGGCATCTGTGCGTGACAACTCTTAGCCCAGCATTTCAGGAACACAGATTACAAAATGGCTGGAAACAAGACAGTGAGGGACAAAACCATAAAAGCCTTTTATATTGTTCAAAGGCAGTTAAGCTTTTAGGATGGGATCCTGGGGAACCATTGAAGAATTCTGTAGAGAGGAGTGACGTGATCTGATTCGCATTTTGTATATATCCTGGAAGCAGTAATGTAGGAAAGAGCAGATAAGGACCTGACAGTGGGGGTGTAGAAAGTGGAATAAATGAGATATTTGGCAAGTAGAATTGATGGGGTATATTAATGCTTTGGATATAGGGGACAATAGCAGGAGGAATCTAGGGCCCTTGGATTTGGGGTTGAACATTTGGCTGGAGTTAAGGATGTAGCTAAAATTTTCAAGGAAATATTTATTATAATACCAACTTGGTATGGCTGTGGAATCTTCTGGCAGCAGTCATAAACCCATTTATAGGTAAATGGGAGGAAGATGTTACTTAGACCAGTTTTGAAGTTTAGAAAAATGCATTTGTAGAACAATAGAAATGTACATATATATAGCAGGTAAAATTCAGGCCAAAAATATATACTTGGAAAACCTTTCCATTATTTTTCAAATGCTTGAGTGCATATCAGCATTAGATTCTTGTTTTAAACTTAGAAGTAATGGAAATAGCGAAATTTTAATAACTGCTAAAGAAATTTTATGGACTCAGAACAATTAACTCATAAAAGATTCCTTCTTCTAGTGAGATTTAGCACTCCTGTCCCTTGTGTGCCAACATCTTCATCTTTGTCCTTGTAATAGAACTGACCTTTGTCTTGTAATTTTGTTTAGAAAAATCAACCTGTAAAGTCCCTGGACAGGTCCATTGCCACTTTGTTGATTATGAGATTTAGTAACTTGTACAGGGCTTGGTACTCAAAGGTTTGTCGGATGAACCTCCTCATTTTTTAGTGGTAGAAACAGGCAAGATTTTTTTTTTTAACCTTTTTTTGAATACTATAAGAGTTCATAGGCCAGGCATGGTGGCTCATGCCTGTAATCCCAGCACTTTGGGAGGCTGAGGCGGGTGGATCACCTGAGATTGGGAGTTGGAGACCAGCCTGGCCAACATGGAAAAACCCTGTCTCTACTAAAAATACAAAATTAGCCAGGCGTGGTGGCGCCTGCCTGTCCCAGCTACTTGGGAGGCTGAGGCAGGAGAATTGCTTGAACCTGGGTGGCAGAAGTTGCTGTGAGCTGAGATCATGCCAGTGCACTCCAGCCTGGGCAACAAGAGTGAAACTCCATCTGAAAAAAAAAAAAGTTCATAATGTTGAAGAGTTAACTTCTCATGAAGCTAAAGTATACCGGTTACTTTCACTATGACAACTATTTTTTTTTTACTTTGATTATTAACTATCATTTATTTGTGCCTTACTAGAGCTCTGTATAGAAATGAATTGTGGGTTTCATCTGGACTCTTGAGGACAGAGAGCTAAGGAGCATGGGCACAGGAGGGAAGTATGGTGGCACCCAGAGAGATAGATAAAGCCATGGTGACTTTTTTGTACACACACTTTAAGCATTTTATTTTTCAGCGGAAAACAACAGCCTTGACACAGATGATCACTTTAAACCATCACCTCGGCCAAGGACTATGTTAAAAAAGAATAGCCACAGAGAGGAGACAGATGGACTAGAAGATAAAGAAACTGCCCTCGGTGAAGAATTGGAGTTACATTCTTCACCCTCTTCCCTTCCAATGCCGAATGGCACACAATTAGAAGCTGAGAAAAAAGCATTCTCTGAAAACCTTGATGCTGAGGTTAGCACTACTGCTAAACTGTTGAATTGTGTTCTTGAATTTATGCTTTTTTATCTAATTATGAAAAAGAGGGAGAGAATGAATTTGTGTGCATGTGTGTGTTTTACATATTTTCTTCTGCAACTGATAAGGAAATAATTTTTAAAAATACACTGTATTCCACCAAGTCTAAACGTGCACGAATTGTAAGATGTAGCATTATTGTACATACCAGTAAGGAAGAAGGAAATGAATCTAATTAAACTATAACACACCAGTGATTGTAGTGTAACCAGTTTTAGAGAAAGTAAAATGTCAAAAATGTTGCTTTTCTCAATCTATATGATCTATATGATAGTGTTTATCTTTAATAATTTTTTAAATTTATGTATCTTTGAATTATGTAATTTATGGCTAAGAACAATAATGTCATTTTATTTATTTGATTAGATTCACTCAACAAATGTTCATGTCACTGTTCTGTGTTCTTTGGGTTATGTTCCAATAGCATTTAATGTGGCCTTACAGATTTCCATCAGGGAGTTTACTATGCATTGTTATTCACTATGAGAAGTAAACTTTCTCTTCTGAACATTACAGAAGGGAAAAGTACAGGAAGAACATTTCTTCTCCATAATCTGCTTGGGCAAATTGGGGAAAAGGAACTGCATGCTACCTGGCCAAGCTTCTTTCTTTTTCTCATCCGTTGTCGGCAGTGTTGGTGTGTAAGGATCTGCTCCCTGGGAGGTGTGGCAGAAGGGGCCAAGAGGAGCCCCTCTGTGCTATGAATAAATGGGGAACCCCCTTTATTCAGACCGAAAGTATCAGGAAACACAGTAGGCTACCGATTCAAATCTTGTTCTGCAGTTGAACTTTACCGGCACAGCCGATTATTCGATGCACGTCTAGCTGACACCACCAGGCTGTTTCTTAATTTGTTCTGAAAACCAGAAGGTGAAGCCCAAGCCATTACTTTATATTTGAGAAAATTATCTGGTCAGTTGAATATTGTGCTAGTTTGTTGTAGCTGCTGTAGCAAATTACCACAAACTGGTTAACTTAAAACAACAGAAATGGATTCTTTTAAATTATTAATGCTATACGGCCTAGACTTAGTGTATCTTATGAAAGTCTCATTTGCATTTGCAAAGTAGGTGTGTTCCTCAGGTGTTGAATGTTTTGTAATTTAAGTTTGGTCAACGTGGTTGGTAATATCATTCAGATCTTCTTATCTTTATCGACTTCTCATCTAATTTGTTTACCAGTTACCAATTTAGGGGTATTAATATATCCCATTATGTTTGTGGGTTTGTCTATACTTCTCTTTAGTTCTGTCAGTATTTACCTGTTTTTTTAAGTTATTGTTTTTATTGTTGTTTCTCTGTTATTCTTTTCTTGCCTTTTTTTGAGGGTATAATTTTTTAGTTTTTTATTGTTATTGACCATTTATATCTGTTTGCATTATATTTTTCATAGTTGCTCAGTGGGTTGCAAAATACATCTAAAAATTATCACAGTCTATTTAGAATTGATATTGTATTGTTTCACATTTGATATAGAAACCTTGCTTATAGTTCCATATATATATAGTTTCTCATCCATTGTGCTTTTGTTGTCGTATATATTACATCGACGTATCATACAATCCCCACAATAAAGTTATAACTTTTCTTTAAAGAGCCCTTTAATTCTTCGTATTAGACTTTTAAAGAATTAAAGAAGACTAGAATAAATATATATTATAGATATATATTCTGTATATATCTATAATACATATAGATACATACAGAATCTGCTTTTACAGGATCCGCTGAGTTCTCCCTTATGCCACAGATGGAGGTGGTAAAGGTTTTTGGTGAATTTCATATGCAGATTTTGTGGTCACTGTCTTCTGCTATTTTGGCTGATCTGGTGGTCCTAGACTCTATCTTCTGTCCCCTCGAGTCAGCCCACCAAGGCTGTAGCCTCCTATTACTTGAGCTGCATAGATTGCAGAATGCCTTCTGATAAAAAGCTACCAATTTGTAGATCGCGTCAGGTGAAGCTTTGTCTTTCAGGGTAGACTCCAGTGTCTCAGCCTTCCATTTTCTCAAATGTTTTCTCTCCGTTGCTTTTGGCATATAATTTTCTTTGTACCCATAAAATATCACGGGGAAAGAAAATTAAAATATTTGCACAACAAAGTTGAACTTCTTACAATATAATATCACCTTTAGGCTAGACGATTCTAAGAAGAAATATTTACCTTTGATACACAAATATAATTATTTCATTTCAGATATAATTATCAGAATTTTGAGAAAACTCAAATGCATACGATCTATGTGCTTTTTCTATTTAAAATATTTGGAAGTAGCTGCTTACTTGATTTTATTAAATGCTTTCATTTGGATAACTAGTAATATTTGCTTGGAACTAAAGTATTTTACCTGTCTTCTTTATGCTTTCCTTCAAAGGATAATTGTAGGAAGAGTTATCAAAATCAAATCTTGGCCTTAAATATTTATAAGAAATTTGGTTTTAAAGTAACAGGAGTTTTGAAAATTGGTGAAATCAAATAGAGAGGTGGTGATAGTTAGGTAAGGAACTTGAATAACTCTTCCAGTGGCCCCTTTTAATGACCAAGACATCAAGGCTTGAAAGTAAAGCATACTCACCTTCAATGGCTCATCACATTTTGTGTTTCAGCAAAAAATGCCTAATCATGCAGATTTCAGAATTATGCACTATTTCAGAATTTGTAGTTTTAATAATGCTATTGTTTCCACGAATGTTGGTAACTAAACTTACTTGGCAAATATATTTTTTTTTGCAAAAACAGGATTCATGCTTAACAAGTCTATCATCGTCATCTCTTAAACAAATTCTTGGAGATTCTTTTTCACCAGGATCTGACGGAAATGCATCCATAAAAGGTGGTTATGTCTAATAATTATATCTTATCTTATTTGTGAACTCTGTACTACTTAGAATATCCTGTTTATAAGAGAAATAATACTTTGTATAGTTACAAGGGAAATATATGTTTTTGTGTGTTTGAGTTTTAATCCAGACCATATAGTTAACTAACTGTGATTTTGGATGCAGAACTTAATCTCTCAGTGCCTCGATTTCCCCAAATTATATTTTCTGTCTCATAAGGTTATTATGAAAATTAAGTGATGTAGTGCATTTTAGCCACTAGCCTAATTCATGCCCCAAGTGGAGTGAGCACTTATGGTAAACTATCATTATGTATGCGTTGCTGTGATATTCTGCAGGACAATATAAGAGCTAGGTGGAATTTTAAAGTGAGACTAAGCTAGGTTTGAATACTGGCACACATTACATTACATAAGCAAAGCAATTAACCTTTCTGACCCTTTATATTGATCTTTAAAAATGGGTAAAATAAAAATAATCTGTTATAGGGTAGTGTAAAATTAAAAAATTAATAATATATGCAAAGTATTTACAGCAGTACCCCCATAGTAAGCAGTTAGTGTGATATGTGAGTTAACATAATTTTTTTCTTAATGCTGCGATATGTAACTTAATGAAATCTAAAAGATATAAATATTTCTAGGTCTGAGAGGTGAACATTTATTAAGTGCTTACTAGGTAGTATCATTTTTGTCATTTTACAGATGAGAAAACCTGAAGTACAGTGATTTGGGGAAACATACCCAAGGTTAGTGATGGAGCCACAGTTAAATCTTGGGCTCCAAAGTTCTTGTTCCTTTCACTGAATACATTAAGATCTCCAAAGAATCCAGTAATAAATTGAGTCATGAGTAATTTCCAAATGTGAATAATAATGTAATTTTAAGCCCATTTTACCTCAAAACAAATTCTAAAAAAAAAAAAAACTGGTCATAATGAAACCAACAGAATTAAGACTTTTGACAGTGAAGATTCAGATTTTGCTGGGAGGCGGATCTTCGTAGAACTGAAAGTTGGTGATCCCATTCCCAAATGTAGTAGAATCAGGATAGTAGAAGCAATTCTATAAATGCAAAACTGAGTCTTTGTATGCCAGAGCTTGAGCCTGTTTCTTGGAGCACTGAGAGTATAAGCAATAGGCTTGTCTTTATTGTCTTTATTTATGGTATCAGAGGTAGTACTGCGTCTTGGTGGGATGCGACTCAGTAGAGACTGTGTAAAACTGCATTGATTCTTGGTTCTTTCTGCATCTATACCATTCAACAATTGTACTACTAGTAGCTGTAGTAGCCTAGAGAGGTGTGGCTCCTTCTTTTGCAGCCTGTTGTTCTAGCTAAGAAACTCAGGCTTTAGGGTTGAACAAATATTGTCACCTCACTTACTTGGTTTGTATGTCAATAGCTCTTTTGATGTTTCTTTTGTTTTAGGGTAGTTATTTCATTCTGTTTGTTAATATGCTATTTTTCTAGGTATTAGATTTGTTAAGTGCTTCATTAAACGTAGACTTTTTTGGTAAATCACTTTTGAAAAAGCTTGTGCAAGTTTAATATGACAGTTTTCTTCATATTTTGTAAGAAAAAAGATTATAAATAGTTTAAAAGAAAGCAAATGAACCTGGTATTCACCTTATTAATTCAGAAGTGGGTTTTAATGGTATTACTCTGTCTCAAAATAGATCCAAATGAAGAAATCACTGAAAACCATAATTCCTTGAAATCAGATGAAAATGAAGAACATTCGTTTTCAGCAGACCATGTCACTACTGCATTTGAGAAATCCAAGGAAAGTCAGGTGACTGCTGATGACCTTGAAGAAGAAAAGGAGAAAGCTGAACTGAATATGGATGGTGACAGAACAGTTGATCCACTGCTATCTAAATCTCAGAGTATCTTAATACCTGCTAGTTCAACGGTGTCTGCAAAGGTATTTATAAAAATTCATACCTTTCATTCTATAGCTTAAAACTTGAAATAGAACTTTAAGATTTTTTTTTTTTTGACACGGAATCTCGCTCTCTCACCCAGGCTGGCGTGCAGTGATGCAAACTCAGCTCACTGCAACCTCTGCCTCCCAGGTTCAAACGATTCTCTGCCTTAGCCTTCAGAGTAGCTGGGAATCCAGGCGCCCACCACCATGCCTGGCTAATTTTTTATATTTTTAGTAGAGATGGAGTTTCACCATACTGGCCAGGCTGGTCTTGAACTCCTGACCTCGTGATCCACCTACCTCGGCCTCCCAAAGTGCTGGGATTACAGGCGTGAGCTACCACACCAGGCCAGAAATTTTATCTTCTGTGTTCTGAATTACCTGGGGAAAATTTATTTTTTGATAGGGGTATTTTCACATGGTTCTTACTTAATCTAATAAAATTTAACTTTAAGGAAAGTTTGCAATGAATATAATGAAACCCAGTGTTTAAAAATTATTAGAGGCATTTGATCATAATATACTTTTAAATATTTCAGAAATACATACCCTTAGTGTATATATTCCCATAGGTCTTCATATTTTAAAAATATAACTGTCTGGAATAATTTCTGACATTTTAAATTAGAGTTATGTTTTTGGATATTGTTTTAAAACATGTTAACAATTTTAATGAAAGTCTTAAAAAATGTTTATCAACATCCATGCTTCTTTGAAATAGATGGTTATCAGGAACATTAATACTTGATCCTTTGCCTTTATTTCCTAATTTTCAAAATAATGAATTAGTGCTCTAGCAACCTCCAGAGGTGATGAAGTTGCTTTGTTTTTTTTCTTTTCTTATTTCATATAAATTTAACAGGTACAAAGTTCTTTTTTGTTACATGGTTATATCGTATAGTAGTAAAGTCAGACTTTTAGTATAAACTAAAGTGAACATTGTACCCATTAAGTAATTTCTCATCCCTCACCTCCATCCCACTCTTCCTAGTCTCCAATATCTATTATTCCCCACTCTGTATACATGTGTACACATTATTTAGCTCCCACTTGTAAGAACAGGCAGCATTTGACTTTCTGTTTCTGATTTATTTCACTTACGGTAATAGCCTTCAGTTCCATCCAAGTTGTTGTAAAAGACATTATTTCTTTTATGTATGGCTGCATCGTATTCCATTGTGTGTGTGTGTGTGTATGTGTGTCTACACCACATTTTCTTTAGCCAGTCATATGTTGATGTACACTTAGGTTGATGGTTGATTCCTTACCTTTGTTGTTGTGACTAGTGCTGTGATAAACATGTAAGCAGGTATCTTTTATATAATGGTTTATTTTCCTTTTGGCAGATACTCATAGTGGGGTTGCTGGATTGAATGGTAGTTCTATTTTTACTTCTTTAAGAAATTCACATATTATTTTCCATAGAGATTGTACTAATTTACATTCTTACCAAGAGCATATAAGCATTCCCTTTTCTCTGTGTTCTCACCAACATTTGTTACTTTTTAAGCTTTTTAATAATAACTGAATATTCTGACTAGTATAAGATATCTCACTGGTTTTAATTTGTGTGTCTCTGATGATTAGTGATGGTGAGCATTTTTTTTCACGTTTCTTGACCACTTGTATGTCTTCTTTTCAGGAATATCTATTCACATTTTTTGCCCTCTTTTTAACGGGTTTTATTTGGTTTTTTGTTGTTGTTGAGGGGAACATTATTGTAACCTTAAGAAACATATATGTGATGTGTAGGATTACCTGTCTCTACACTAAATTGTGCCTGAGTGCTATACGTTAAAAATTTATGGTATAGCATTTTCAGTGCTTGTTTCTCCTGAAATTGTCACTATCTCTTATAGCTGCAGTTAGTTAGCAGCTCTGTGTACTTATTATCAGGGAAGAAAACAGTGCTAGCTGAAAATTTGTGTTTGAGCAATACTTTCATAACATAAAATACCAGCTTTTCTTAAAATGTATGAAGTTTCATTAAGCCGTGTTCCAGGTATATCATCCTTAGTACTTTCCTTAGGGAAAAAACACAGTTAGGGATGTGTTTATATTTGTGCTTTCACTTTACCATTAGCGTCCATCAGTCTGTGTAAAGTTAAAAAGTTCTTCCTTAGAAGAACGGGTATTCTGGGTATTGTAGAATGTTTAATTAGAACAGGAAATTTATATGTGACAGTAAGGTTGTAACATATTTCTTTTGACTGGACCCTTGACTTCATTCTTACTCTCCACTGAGTGACCTTTTCTAAACAGGAATCTTACCATTCTCCATTAAAGTCTTTTTGTTGGTTTCTCATCACAAGAATACAGTCCAGACTCCTCTTCGCCACCTAGTGGTCTCACATGGTTCTTCTCTGACCACATCTTCCTCTGCTTTCCCTGCCATTCACACTATGCTTCAGCTCCATTCACCTCTTTCTGTTTTTCAAAGATACCAAGCTCTGTCTTTTCTCAGAGCTTGCTGTTTACTTGTTTACCACTTGCTGTTTCTTTCTTTCATAGACTTTGACGTGGGCCCTTTGCACTCATTATTTGTCTCGGCTCTGATGTCAGGCCTTCCGTACAGCCTTCTCTCATCAGCTTCTCTAAAGCAGCCCCTCAAACCCGCTTTAGTCACTCTCTGTCACTGTACAATATTTTATCTCCTTCATGAATCATGTTTGCTTATATGTTTGCTTTTGGTCAGCCCTGTCTAAAATTTAATCTTAAGGGTATTTTATTCAGTGATTTGTTCCCAGTGTCTGATGTGTTTGACACAGAGTAGATGCTTAAAAAATACTGACTTATTGGCAGTTTTTGGCTTCTAAGCCTAACAAGGATGGTTGTCATGAATAAATCATCTATGGCATTTTCTGTTTAATAGAAAACAATTGAAGATAGAAATATGAAGAATAAAAAGTCAACAAATAATAGAGCATCCAGTGCATCTGCCAGGTAATAAAGTTATCAGTATTTGTCATTTATGGGCTTGCATTCTAGCAAAGCTAGTTTTAATTTGACTTTCACAAAGTAAATTTCATTTGGTGTTACTGTATTTTCTCTTTATTTCCATTTCATAAGATGAAATGAGTATTTACTTCATGATAAAACCCCTTGGTTGATGATATTATTTGAAATAAAGTAATTTATAAAAAGTAAGTCTGTTACTGGTTGTTTTAATGTCTGGAATGTTTATACAACACATTTGGTCTCCAGGATCAGCCTAGGAATATTTTTCTTCTTTCTTAATGTCAGTGATTAGGGGTTCTCTGTGCTCCACACTGCTTCTGGAATAGAGCTTCTTTCTCCTTCTTCTATTTTTCCTAAGATAAGAGATACAAAATGGTAATAAAGCTGAAGTCCAGCAATGATACTTATTTATTATCAAGGATTTTTATCTAACATGTGAAAAATTTTACTGAAAGTCTTCAGAATCTATGAACTAAGTAGGTTTATTAAAATGATAATCGACATAGCTTCATTCACACCAATGATAATGAATGCTTAACTCATACGCACTCATCAAAACCTTCTGAATCTCTAAATTATCATCAGTCAAATTATCATTAATCAAATAAAACAGCCACCAAGCTTTTTCTGCAAATGACCAGTAGTACATATTCTAGGCTTTGTAGGAAATACAGTCTATTGCAACTACTCATTTCTACTGTTTTAACGGGAAAACCGCCACAGGCAAAACTTAAGTGAATGATTACAGCTATGGTGCAATAAACTTTGTGTACCAAAACTGAGGGCTGGCCATTTTTCCTACCAGTCCCTTAAATAGATGGTACTATTCTTTCTAATTTTATATTTGGAATAGTACATGTAACAAAATGATGAAAGAAACTATTAAAAGAGTGGTTATAACCTACTTTATTGTTTTTTCCATGTAACTTGAGGAGGGGTCCATATTTCTTAAAAAGGGTCTAATTACAAGTATTTTAAAAGAACAATCATTTTAACCTATATAAACTTAAAGTTATAAAATTTAAATTATGTTGAAGGGCACATATGTCTCCTTCAACGTAATTTCATACTCTTTGTATACTAAGACTGTACATTTTACCTACATCATTTTCAAAGTCATTATAATTTGTTAAATTATAATGTAGTTTTCCATTTTTTTGTTGTTTTTGAGATGGAGTCTCACTCTGTTGCACAGGCTGGAGTGCAGTAGCACGATCTCTGCTCACTGCAACCTCTGCCTCCTGGGCTCAAGCGGTTCTCGCACCTCAGCCTCCAGAGTAGCTAGGACTACTGGCATGCGCCACCACACTGGCTAGTTTTTTTTGTATTTTTGGTAGAGACAGGGTTTCCCCATGTTGCCCAGGCTGGTCTGTAACTCCTGAGCTCAAGTGACCAACCCACTTTGGCCTTCCAAAATGCTGGGATTACTGGTATGAGCCATTGTGCCTGACCAGTTTTCAAATATTATACATGCATATTCTAACAGATTTCTTTTCTACCAAATGCAATTGTAATATTTTGTCTTTGTTACTTTGGATCTTTTCAGATTAATGACCTCTGAGTTTCTGAAGAAATCTAGTTCTAAAAGGAGAACTCCACCAACAACTCCCTCTTCTCACTATTTAGGGACTTTAAAAGTCTTGGACCAAAAACCTTCACAGAAACAGAGCATAGAATCTGATAGAGCAGATAACATAAGAGCAGCTGTTTATCAGGTAAAAGAGGAAAATATTTTTAAGAAGAGAATAATAATAATCACTTTTATAAGCCCACCATGTTTATAAAGAATAAAGTAACCCTGTCTGAAATGGTTTAATACTTAAATTTATTGAGAAAGATTTTTCTTTTAATACATGAGTAATCCATAGATATTTTACTAAATTATTTGCTTCCACACTTTGCATAACTGATCATAGTTGTTGTTTTTAAAGAGAGAATATGCCATAGCAATTTATAGAAATATAGCAAAAGCTAAAATGTTGTGAAGTCTACATACATTTTCATCTTTTCTTCTTGAAGTTTATGTGAACAAAAGAATTACTATGAACAAAAAGTTATTGAATTTTTTCTTTCCTGAGATGTTGTTAGGCATACATAGAAAAAAGATTTTATTAATTTATTCACAATTCTAAAAAAGATCTTGTCTTTTTTTTGTAGAATAGTGCACTTTAGAAAATTGTGCATGTGAATTTTAGAGAAAAATGTTAATATAAAGAATTGTAATTCATTTACGAAATTTTGAATATTATATAACCTTTCTCTTGTTCTCATAGGAGTGGTTAGAAAAGAAAAATGTGTATTTACATGAAATGCACAGAATAAAAAGAATTGAAAGTGAAAACTTAAGGATCCAAAATGAACAGGTATTTTAACTTAAGTAAAAGTGTTCTGGATATTTATTTCAGTAAAATATCCCTGAATATATAACTTTTCTGAATCAACTTTTCAAATGGCAGAATAACTTGTATATTAAAGAATTTATTTCTGGTTTTATTTCTGTTTTGCTTTATACATTTTAGTTTGATATAACTGTCTTACATTAAAACAGATTTTAATTTTGTATATGTATAGGATAGCTTTGTTCCTGCTGATTATGAAGTTTTATTGTTTGTGAGCACCTAATTCACTCTTAAAAGCTGACTTCATTTAGAAGTTAACCAAGAAGGTCAGGCACTGTGGCTCACGCCTGTAATCCCATCACTTTGGGAGGCCAAGGCAGGCGGGATCCCTTGAGGTTTGGAGTTCACACCAGCATGCGCAACGTGGTGAAACCCTGTCTCTACTAAAAGTACAAGAATTAGCTGGGCATAGTGGCGGGGACCTGTAATCCCAGCTTCTTGGGAGGGAGGAGGAGGTTGCAGTTAGCTGAGATTGAGCCACTGTAGTCCAGCCAGGGTGACAGAGACTGTGTCTCAAAAAAAAAAAAAAAACACAAGAAGATAAAGGATCATTAGACATTAGTTAGCCTTGAGTTTTCTTTCCTCTTTTCTCTCTTGAATTTTATAAGTATCTCAAGTCCAACCGCTACCTGAGCTCTTGATTTATATCCTTTTTCATCGACTGGAGGTGAACTTTTGTTCCTGTCTCTTCTGTACTGAGTCTGTTCCTCTAACTCCTGCTCATAATATACTCAGTTATTTCCTATCTTCTAAAATAAAAGTTCTGAAAAATATTCCAGTGTGTTGTTCAATACTAAAATAAATTTAGAAGCAAACAATTTTCCAAAGTGAACTGAACGATAATTCATCAGTAGCAAAGGGAGCAGCCGTCCAGGGGGCTGCCTGTCTGTCTGTTACCCACGTTCGTAGCAGTATGCAGCTCTGGTCAGTGCCGTACCCCTTCTCCTTTGATCTTCCCAGCTCCGTGAGGTAGATGTACTTTGACTTCTAAATTATGTTACCCCATATTAAGGTTTTATGTCATTTAGTAATAAACAATAAAGCAAACATAGAATATTATGGGATTAGATTAAAGGAAGTAAAACAACATAACTTGGTATAGAGTCTCCAACCTATTTTTCATTCTAGCACATCCTTTCAACATTTGGAATACATTAGTAAGAACTTTATGTTTTGATACTATTCAAAATTAAGATTGAAACCAAAGATCTGTATCTTACTGCATGACTTGGCCAATTTGCCTTACTCTAACTTACTTTATAAGCCTTTAACTTTACTAATTTTTTTTACTCAAATATTTTATTATGAAAATTTTACTGCACCACTTAGCCTATTACAATTTATTTTGATATCATTTGTTTAGTACATTTCAAAAATAATAGTTGGCATTTTTCTCATTAATAGGTCAATATGTGATAAATGTTTTTAGAAAATGACATTTTAAAAATCAATGAATAATTCAGATAACATTCTTTGTAAATTAACTTATCTAAGGCACTCTAAATAATCTACTTTAAAAGTTAACTTCTAAGTACAATGGATATCAGAAGATTAAATGTGTGTGTGTATATTTATATGTAGCCATATTTGTCTATATATGTGTGTCTGTATATATATATGTGTGTGTATATCACTATTATTTTTTCCAATGTAGAAAAGAGCTGCTAAAAGAGAAGAAGCATTAGCATCATTTGAGGCCTGGAAGGCTATGAAAGAAAAGGAAGCAAAGAAAATAGCCGCCAAAAAGAGGCTTGAAGAAAAAAACAAGAAGAAAACTGAAGAAGAAAATGCTGTGAGGAAAGAAGAAGCACTACAGGTATTTGAGAGCTTTGCACATCTTAATTATTTGAAATCCAATTAATGCTTAACCATATTTTTATTTATTTTTAAATATTCACAGTAAGAACATTATTCTGAACTTTTTCAGGCTTTTGAAAAATGGAAAGAGAAAAAGATGGAATATCTTAAAGAGAAAAACAGAAAGGAGAGAGAATATGAAAGAGCAAAGAAACAGAAAGAGGAGGAGACTGTTGCCGAGAAAAAGAAAGATAATTTAACTGCTGTTGAAAAATGGTAATTCAAGATCATAAACATTTTGATGTATTTTAAATTAATAACACTTCAGGATTGTATGAAAATTATTTACTTGAGATTTACTAATACATTTCAGTCTCATTACTGTCAAAGATGTACTAGGAAACCTTTAGGATGTATTTTCCTTTAACTCTCCAGTGTTTTATACCATTCTTTATAGGAATGAGAAGAAGGAAGCTTTTTTCAAGCAAAAGGAAAAGGAAAAAATAAATGAGAAAAGAAAAGAAGAACTGAAAAGAGCTGAGAAAAAAGATAAGGATAAACAAGCTATTGATGAATATGAAAAATGGCTGGTAGGAATTATTTGTCAACACACCTGTGTCTTTTTCATGTATACCTTTTGTGTCTTTTCTGTTCCTAATTCTGTTTGCTCCAGACCCACTGATCATTTCTACGTAGAAGCTGCTTTGTTGAATTCAAGCTCTCCTCCTGCTCATAGCATATTTTCTTTGATTTAGACATTTCTGATAATGTTGCTACTATTCCCTCAAATGCCCAGCTTACAACTTGTTATAGGCTGGGCACAGTGGCTCACGCCTATAATCCCAGCACTTTGGGAGGCCGAGGTGGGCGGATCACGAGGTCAAGAGATCAAGACCATCCGGGCCAACATGGTGAAACCGCGTCTCTACATAAATACAAAAATTAGCTGGGCGTGGTGGCGCACACCTGTAGTTCCAGCCACGTGGGAGGCTGAGGCAGGAGAATTACTTGAACCTAGGAGGCGGAGGTTGCAGTGAGCTGAGATCGCGCCACTGCACTCCAGCATGGCGCCTGGCGAGAGAGCAAGACTCTGTCTCAAAAAAAAAAAAAACTTGTTATAATCTTCTTCCTTACCTGCATCCTCACATTTACCATTTACTATTCATGCCCATTCTTCCTTTGAAGTGATTCTCACATCTAATATCATAGAAAAAAGACAGGTATACTACTAAGGGTACTACTTGGTGAAACTTGGTCATGACACAAAGTAACACTGAATTTAATAGTGAGAAAATTATTCCATTTTTTATTCTCTTTTGATATTTCTGATTACCTCAAGGAGAATCTCTTATTTTTGTGTTTTTAATGAAAGAGAGTAAGTGTTAGGTTTAGGAGGAGCAATATCTAGCTGAACCAAATATTGTATATATTTGATTTCCCTTTACTTATCTTTATAAAAGTTACTTTTTGTTTATATGAAGCAAAATATTATTTTCCATTTTAGGATATCAACATAAATAGGCATTTTTGTCAACTTTCATGTAAGTACAACATTACTATGAATAAGTACTTTACATAAGTAGGTAACACATTCATATGAATAGTTAACATGTGATTCAGCAATCAAAAAGTATAACATTTCTGTACTAGAAGTTTATCCAGTCAGGTTTCCTATGAAACTTTACAACAACTCGTATCAATCAACTAGTTAAAAAAATCATCCAGGTTATTTTTGATTTGCATTTCTCTGGTTAGAATTGAGCTTGAATATCTTTTCATTTGTATATGAGCCATTTATATATTATTTTCTCTGTAAATTGTCATTTCATAGACTTTGCACACTTTTCTATTAGATTGTTGGGTTTTTTTCTTATGGATTTCTAGAATCTTTTGTTTTGTACTAGGGAAATTAGCCAGTCATTTTTTATATGTGTTGCAAATATTTTTCCCCCGACATATTGTTGGTTTCCCAGCTTTCCTGATAGTATTTTATACCATGAAGAATTTATTTTTTAGGTGTCAAATTTATCAATCTTTTTTGGGAGGAGCGGGGCTTTTGAATTTCAAGCATAGTTGAAAAGACCTCAAGCAATTTGAGGTTAAACAAAATTCTCTTATTTTTCATCTAACAACTTTCTGACTCTAATATCTTAATGTTTTAACATTTGTTCTACTTAGAATTTATCCTGATGCATGGTGGGAAATATGATTTCAACTTCAGTTTTTCCAAATATGTCCTTTATAAAGTAGCTATTTTTACCCATTGATTTGAGGTGCTGCTTTTATCGTATGATACATTCTCATATTTTGGGATCTGCTTCTTACCTTTCTGTTCCGTCAGTCAGTCGTGATTCCAGTGCCACACTTTCATTATTAGGCTTCATGTGTCTAAATATCTGTTGGGATCATCTCCCTGTATAGTCCTTCTTTCACAGCCTTTCTGACCAGTCTTACTTTTTTCCATAAACTTAAGAATCAGCAGTAGTGAGAAAGGCACATAAGACCAAAATGAGCTATTTAAAGATAGGAAAAAAAGATAAAACAATAATAAACTTAAGAAACATGCAAGATCAACATAAAGAAAATTGTAGAACTCTCCTGAACGATACAGATCAAGGCTTGAGAAAACAGATCAGAATTGCTCTTGTATACAAACACACTTAATCTTATAATGATGTTATAAAGATGTCAGCTCTTTCTGAAGTAATTTAATGTACTCTTAACAACAGAATTCCATTTTTTATTCTGTTTTGAGAACAGAATGTACTCTGTGTGTTGACTTTATCACTGCTATATACTAATTCCTTGCAGAGAAATAGTAATAAAATAATCAAAATCGGGTCAGTTTTGAATAAAGAACATAGTATTTCATGATGATTTCCTTAGATTAAACTTTTAAATAATACTATATTCTAAAAAAACATTTAAAGTTCACATATAGTAAAAAGATGAATACTGACTGCTAGTATCAATTAGGGAAATTAAATGTAAATATTTGAGTTTTTCATTTTATTTCCATATTGTCATGAAAGTGGAATAGAATTTCCTTAATAAGTCACATTTAGATATGCTGTTTTTAATTATAGTACTTAATTACATTGTCATTCTCATCAGTCCTCTGAAGAACAAGAATTCCTCAAAGACCAAAGACAAAATAACATGTTTTGATATCTAGTAAAATGTCTACAAATATAGTGCTTCTATAAACACATAAATATACATGTTACAGATCCATTCTCCTTCATATTGAAATTTGTTTGCAGATAGAATAGAAAAATTGCCCCACATAGAAGTCTAGTGACTTCAATATTCATGTAAAATAACATCTCAAACTTTTTATATACAAACTAGTTTGCACAGTAAGCATTTGGTGGATAATTATTTTAGGGGAAAGTTGGAGCCAGAGATCAGGTAAGACTCAAATATTTTTCTTGCCAATTCCCAGATTAATTCGTCATTATCTTAAGTAAGAAGATGAGCAAAAAGTTTAGTTTTACACAGAGGAATGTCAGGAGGACTTTTTTAACAAGGTTCTTTTAATTATTATCAAGGTAACTATTGATTCTTGTGAATTGATATTACAGTTATTATAATTGTCTATTTTTTAACCTGGTTTCACAGCCCCCCACTAGTAAGATGAAGCATATTTCAGTTTACTGTCCCACATGTTAAGTAGAATTACAAAAAGATTTATTCAGTCAGTTTCTCTGGACACAATCTGGTCACTCCTTTTCTTCCACCTAGCTGGATGGTCTGCCTCTCTCTAAAATATTAAAGTAATTGAAGATGATCTAATTACAGCTTTGTTTTTCTTAATTAAAATTCTGAAAGGAAGTTCCCCTTTTGCCTTAATAGAAATAGCAAGCAACCAAACATGCAAACATTCTCATGACATGGAACAAGGACATGGGTGTTAAGATTGAAAAAAAAAGCCTCCTAGTTCATTTGTTCATTACATGTGAATAATTATATGTGAATGGAAACCTTGTACTGCATTGCCATGTTATTCTTGTGGCATTTACACATATACTGATGAAGAGATGCATACACACCTAATCATTCTCCACAATGAGGCTCCTCCCAAGCCATCCATCTGCAGAGGCAGGTTTCACCAAGGGTTTTCCTGCTCCTTGAGGAATATGAGAAAATTGCCAAGATGAAGAAACCACCAAACAAACTTAAAGTGTTAGCAGGGACATAAAGAAATAGACAATCCAAATTGTAAGTTGGAAAGGGCAGATGCTACTAATATTTCAAGTACACCTAGGTAAATACTTAGATTTCATCGTAATACCCAGATACTCAGTTATTTCTTTGAAGGGGATACGTGCAGGGAAATGAAATGATTCTCAAATTCATCTGTAAAATAAAAAATATGGGAGATAATATTTTGAGGATAATATGAAGTAGGACTATCCTGTCAAGCAATAAAGTATAAATTTACCATTCCACTTCTGTGAATCATCATTCTTTCTACTGTTCTGAATTGTTCCCATCATGTTCCGGGATACAAATACACCCTCTGAAGTCTGCATTTTCTCCCGTCTATAGGCCCACTTTTGTCTGCTTTTCTTTATAGTGAAACATCTAGGAAGTTTGGCCTAGACTTCCTTATTTCCTCATATTCTTTTCACTCACTTCCCACTTCAGTTTTGTCTTTGTCCTCATCACTACAGCAAAATCACACTTTGAAAGTTACAGGTTTGCATCTAGAATGGTCTATTGTGTGTTTCTGTCCCTGCTTCAGAATGTCTCAGCATTCTACACTGTTGATTTCCTCCTCCTGCAGCTGTCACCTCCTTTGGCTGTCATGCTCCCCTAGTCTCCCCCTCACTTCTCTGCCTGGCTTCTGTGTCACTGGTTGAATTGTTTTACCTAAAAGAATTCTGCATGTTACCATGGCTTGCCAAGCGCCGTATGATCTTAGTCCTCATTCATGTTTTCTCACCTGTGTCTTGTCTCCTGCTTCCTGCGAAGCCTTAGTCACAGTGGATCTTTTTTGTTTCCTCCCATATCACAAGTTTCTTCCCCGCTCTCAGAGCGCTCACCGCTACTGTTTGCTTTGCTTGCAAAGCTGTCCCCCAGTATTTATCACCAGTGGCTTCTCTTATCCATCACGTCACACTTGAAAGGGGCTTTCCCTGAATCCGTTTTTCATTAAACGGAAATACTCTTTTTTATTCCTTCTCATAGTTTTAAAACATGTTTCATAGAAATTCACACAATTTGGGAATTATCTGTTGTTTATTTTCTTGTTTGTTTCTGCCCATTTTGAAAGTTCCCTGGGGGACAGGGACCATACCTGTGTGTTCAGATTTTTAAAGATTATTTTTATTTGCAATTGACATATAAAAGTGTACATATTTATAGGGTACAGTGTGATGTTTCCATCTATGTATACATAGTGTAATGAACAAAAATGACTCACAAAGGTAGGCACAATATTTGATGCAAAGATAACATTAATATTTAGTCTATGAAAATGCACAAATTGCTAAAAATTAAAGGCACTGGTACCATACATTTAAATGGGCCAAATAATTGAGCAGAAAATTTACAAAAGGCTAAAGAAATGTTTGAAAATGGGCTCAAGCTCAATAATAAACAAGGAAACATGAGGCAGAATTTTAAACTATTTGTAAAAAATATGAAGTATCTCATATTGTCATGACATCTTGAAACTTTGCACCCAGGAAATTTATTTCTGAGAATCTGTTCTCACAAAGTCATCACCAACTTATAATAGGTATTATCTTTAAGTTATAATTGTAGGTCTTTTTTCTATTTTATGCAATTATTTTTTAATACTTTCACTTTTAAAGTTTAAAAAATTAGGGGATATTAATACCTATTGATGTACTTACAAATTAGCAACAAATTAGCAATATTTCCTAGCTATTTTTTTTTCTTGTTTCCTTTTTTTTTTTTTTTTTTTTTTAGTTTGAGGTAATCACACTTGCCTATTTTTACTTTTGTTGTTTATGGTGATAATGTTATATTCAATAATTTTTTACCAATACCATTTGGTGCCATGTGCCTTTCTTTACTGAAAGGTTTTGATTTATTATTTTTATTCATTTTTAATTTAAAGTTTATTATTTTGAGGCAGAGTCTTACTCTATTGCCCATGCTGGAGTGCAGTGGTGTGATCTTGGCTCACTGCAACCCCCACGTCCTGGGCTCAAGCAATCTTCCCACCTCAGACTTCCAAGTAGCTGAGACTATAGGCACGAGCCACCAAACCTGGCTAATTTTTGTATTATTTTGTAGAGATGATGTCTCACCATGTTTCCCAGGCTGGTCTTGAACTCCTAGGCTCAAGTGATCCACCTACCTCAGCCTCCTAAAGTACTGGGCTTACAGACATAAGCCACAATGCCCGACCCATACCTGTTATTTCTTTATGACCTGTCAAACTAGGAAGTGATACATAAATATCTTATAATGGATTATTTTGTTTTTCAGCAAGCAACCTTATTTGAAAATAATATTCATATATGTACATAAATTTATAGTGTTCTATTTTCTCTTTAGGAAAATAAGGAAAGGCAGGAAAGAATTGAACGAAAACAAAAGAAACGTCATTCCTTTCTTGAAAGTGAGGCACTTCCTCCATGGAGCCCTCCAAGCAGAACCGTGTTTGCAAAAGGATTTTGATAATTCTAGTTCTTACATTATTTAGTAATTTATCGATTTGCCAATATTAGCCACAGATTTAAAACCATTCAATTATTTATAGTTAGAGGAATGTATTTTACTTAAATGCCAGGCACTTCTGCTGACAAAGAGATATTTTGGAGTGTAATCAGTGAAAGCATTTTTTGAACTGTAGAAAAACTGACTCAAATGAAGACCTAATAATCAGATTGCTTTTACCATTAAGATACAAAATTTAATCATGTCCTGATAATTCTTATAGTGGAATGATTCATGATCTTTTTCACTAAGCTCTGTATGTTATTTAAGTATATTTAATTCCAGTAATAAAAAGGAAACCATCTAGGTACCATAATGATAGAAATGATTCCGTTTGTGGATGATTGTGAATCTAGATTCAGGTTTTGAAATGAGTGGTCGCTAGGAAGTATGCATGTAGTATTCCTTCTGAAACTGATGTTTAGCTCAAAGCAGTTGCATTTGTACTGTACAAGTTAGAATTTTGATCAGCTGAGGCAGTAGTTCAGCAGAACTCTAATCATCAAAGCTTTTTATTTAAGAACTTTGCCTTATGTTTTAATATGAGTATACTTTATCTGTTCCAGGCTCATGTGACAATCGTAGGCACTATAATGAGTCCACCTCTGAAATTTTTCTTTCTGAATTCTATCTCACTTTATTATTTCAGTGACACAAAAAGACATTAATGTCACAGAAGTGACATACTTATGTATTATGGAAATTCCACAGGAGTTCAAGGTTATCACTATAATTATTTTCCAGACTAAAGCCATAAAGGTGATTTAGGCAATTATTGTATTCTTAGCTAGTCCAGTTTTATAGCTTATATTCAGAAGACAGCTGTATGGGAAGGTAAATATGTTGACAATGTCCACAAAACGTTTATTTATTTATTTATTTGATCTCTGCATGTTCTTGTATTAATTGGTCTCATACTTGACATGGTCATCTAGTTTAACATAGACCAAGTGTATGCTCTTGGAGTTGAAATGCAGCATTAGTCAATAATGCAATGCAGAGATGATAGATGAGAATACACAGTTACTATTTATTGAGAATCTAATATATAATATATACTGGATCTTTACAAATGTATTTAACATCTTTATAACAACTTTTCAGGGTAGGTGTTATTAGCTTCACCTTACAGATAAAAATAGTGACACTCAAGATAAATCAAGTAACTTGCCATTCCATTTGGAGTATGCCTGAATTGGGATCAAACAGGATTCAGTCTGTCTTACTGAATCTGCTTCTTTCTGGAATCCCTGTGCTCTTTTTCACACTTCTGTGTGGCCTCAGAGACTGCTAAGTTCAGTCAAGACCTCTGCGTATTATCAACGTCACAAACACGTTTTAACATTTAGAGCCTAAAATCAGGTACTGTTATCCAGAGATGATCTTTCTCTACCGAAATAGCTGTTTTGTTGTTAGAGATAGTGGGTGTCATTAAATCTATAAAATGGAATAAAAAATTCGTAAGATTTAAGGAGTTACTTAGACATCTTATACCTACTATCAGAATATCAGAAAACTCAGCACGTTATGTGACAAAGGCTTTGAGATGGTCACTCCAGACGTTCCACACACTGAGCATCAGCCTTCTTGCTGCAGTGCATGCACAAGACAAGAAAGATGTCATAAACGGCTTTGTAAGATTGTATCAGTACCATAGACAATTAAAAGAAATTTCATAGGTAAAACTAGAAGTCTTTTTATATGGCCAGAAGTATAATACTTTATGAAATTGAACTAGTTATCAGCAATCTGTAGTATCAGCATGGAATTTAGGACATCTCTTACTCATTTCTGTAACCCCCATAGTATCAAACACAGTGCCTGCCAAAATAGATTAAGTGTTTATTGTATTAGCTATTTAGACCTAAAAAGATATTTGCAAACTTCAGGGAAGTAAAAGGAAAAATTGAAAAAGGTACAGCTACCTTTGGGGATGTGAGATCATGAATGTGTATGTTATAGATTTTACATTAATGATTTACTTTCCAATTATTTTCTTCTACATTGTCATATTTAGTGGCTAACCGTTATTACCTCTTAGGTTGTTATGAGAATTGAATTAATGTAAAGTATTTGACATATACTAAGGACTTATATGTTCATTGTTGTCATCATCGATTTACTACCATGAGCTCTGTATTTCCCCATTTCATGAATGTGAGAATATTAACATAGATAGGGTCAATAATGATTATTTGACATTGCACGCTTTAGCAAGAAGAAATCTCTCCCTTGTTGGCCAGTTTCAGGCTGTGTCACTCAAATAAATAAAAAATAAATAAATAAATAGAGATGCCTTATGTTAGGGCCTTCCTGAAAAGAAAGCTAAGTATTAATTTCTTAGGACTGCTTCTGAGGTAGAATGAGGTGTTTGCGTAGACCCAACAAGTCATTAAAATGGTTGGTTTTTTTTGGTCTTACTATGATAAAGAATATTTTATTTCCCTTTTACAGCAGCCTGTACTGAAATTAGTTGAATAAAATCACCTCTTCTAGCAGAAATAAAGCTGAGTTTGGGGAGTTGGGTGAAAATATAGTACTTTTGTTTACTTTCTAAGATTCAAGGGAGAGAATCAAGCTTGGTAGTCGTCTATTTAAAAGGTATGATTTCCCCATATTTCCTTAGAAAGTATATCATGTCAACATAGATATTTACTCATTAGGTTTACCTTAATTTATATTATGAGGGAATGTTTAATTCAAATTAAGGACATTAAAAGTATATGGACTTTCATATAAAACTTCCAGTTTTATAAATTACATTGATCACTTGAGAATGCAGAGATTTCAAAGTAAAGAAAACAGAAATTTTATGAATTTTTAAAACATTACTTAAAACACATTCCCTTAGCATATTTGTGGGTAAATTTAAATATTAATACTAAAAAGGAAAGTAGTATACAGAATTTAAGTTTCATAATAACGAGGAAAGTGGTAATGCCAAGTAACTTAAAAGATGCAATATGGCATTTTAGATCAAGAGGTTAAAGTTTTCTTAATGAAAAAAATAACTATGAGATAAAAATATTCCAATGGTTTGTGTTTGCCTCATATTTCAAAAATGTTACTTCATTTATTATTTAAAGTTATATTGAAACTGATATTTTCACTGTTGCCAAAGCAGTACTAGACAGTAGTTAGCTATTTATATTCCTCAGAGTTATAGAACTGTGCCTCTGAAAGGGATTTTAATACTTTAATAAACCTGGCCTAAACTGTTTTATTTGTAATTTGAAGAAATTGATTGTCAAGTACTTTTAACTTGTCCAATTTCATACAACTCTGTACTAACTCTAGCACATCTAGAGTTAGATCTCAGTATAAGGTGTCCCAGTTGTGTTCTGCTCATCATTCCACGATTATGATATTGATAAAACTTTCACACTAACTTTTGAACTGTGGTTATTATTAATTTAGTTGATTTTTGTCCTCTTTTTTATTTCCTTATTCTTCCACTGCCATCTTTATAACTGTACACCAGATAAAAGCTATTTGGGTACCTACACTATCATTTAAAGTGTAGGGAAATAATGAAGTTTCTTAAATCCTGTGTCACAGACTAAGATACAATAAAGAAAAGGAATTTCATAAAATAGGGGGAATTACATGTTAACATGTCATAGTCATTCTCAAGAATAAAATAGCAAAAGAAACTTAGATTTCCCTAATTTAATCTTGACTCCAGTTTCAATAGTGCTATAGAAAAAGATATTTAAACCCATATGCCTCCTTTTACAAAAAACAAAGATACCAACTTTCCTAGTTTCTGTTTACAGTGGCTAATAGAATAATAAATTGCTGCGTAAATGTTAAACTGTAGCTTCTCTGAGTTATTTTTACTTTAAAATTGTATGTGATTCTGCCATTTTGAATATGTATATTACATGTAATTGTATAATGTTAACTTGGATAGGCAAAATTCTTGGTATTGAATTTAGGATGTTTTTAGAATTATTAAAAAGATATATTTAGTGTCTGCTTTTTGATAGCATGTTTTCAGATAATGCTTAATGTATCAAAGTCAACCATTCAAGATTTATTTTATTGGGTGATACTATTTATTGACTGTGTTCTGAAATGGCCACAGTGTTAGGAAATGTGATGTGAGTTTTATTTGTGGACTAAGGATGAAATAATCATATTATGCTAATATACCTTTTATTATAAATGACTAAAAATTTGGATATATAACTGATGTTTTACTATACAAATTACAGAGATAGATAATATAATTATTAAATAATTAGAAAATGCAAATAAGCAAAAGTCACCCATGTTCCCAGTTCTCATCTCCCAAAGATAATTATAACTAGTGTATTATTTTGTACTCTTCCCATTAATTAGTTTCTAGTGTAATTTCCCCTGTAGCTGAAATTAATCTGAGAAAAAAGGAATAGTTCCTCCCTCCTTTTTCTGTCTTCCACTCTGTATCTCTCCTGTACTAACTGTGTATATATACAAATATGTATGCATATATATACATATATATATATAATGTATATAATATATATAAAGTACAAACAGTAATGTGCATATTTTCAAAAATACACATTTTTTATTTGAAATAAAAACAAGATCAGACTACATATTTGGTGGCCAGATTTTTTCACTCAGTGATATATCATGAACATATTTCCATGCTAATATAATTTTCTAATAATTTCAGATGCTGTAACTACAGTTTAATTCTTATTGGAAAATTTGTTGCTTTATAAATGGTAAATCATATGCTAAACAATATGATCACTATTCTTGTAGCCAATATTTTTATTAAAAATGATGGACCTTATTAAAGCTATAGAAGAATTTATAAATGTAAGGAGCTATTCAGACATCTTGTATCTAGTATTACAATGTCAGAAAACTCAGCAGGTTATATAACATGTAGACTTTGAGACAGTTGCTCAGAAGTTTTCACATACAGGATTAACCTTGCTACAGTGCTTGTGCAAAATTAAAAAGATGTCATGGGTCCCTTTGTAAGGTCATATTATTGCTGTAGATAAATAAAGGAAATTTTATAAATAAAACTAGAAGCCTTTTGATATTTCCAGAACTATAAGACATAGAATGTGAGTTGTTTAATTGGTGTAGAATTTCAGTTTTTGCAGGATGAAAAGAGTTCTGGAGATCACCTGCGTGTCAGTGAGAATGTACGTAACACTACTGAACCCAACACTTAAAAATGGTTATGATGGTAAATTTTATATATATTTGGCCACAATTTTCAAAACCACAAAGCAATAATAATAATTCTTATTTGCTTATATAAGAGAGAAGGCTTCTCCCTGATTATAGAATCTTTTGTTTGGTCTGACTGGACCAACTTGCTCATCTCAGATGAGTCATCATTAATTCAATTATAGTTGCTAGGAGAAAATCAGATGCTGAAAGGCTTAAACCTGGATTGAATGCTGAATAAGAAGGCAACAATTCAACTAAACTTCCTAGTAACTCTTCATTTGAGATTTTGTTCTTGAATAGTCTCACTCACTTTATTTTTGACGTAAGCTTAGGGTTCTTGTTAAGCTTTTAAAACCAAATTGTATTGCAATTTCTGGCAGACTTGTAGTAACCATACGCAACAATAGAATCCATTTATTTGAAGTAGATATGATAAAACTAATCCCCTTCTAGAGGTTAATTGATGTTCTGTTATATTTTTGTATGCAGGGCCATATAACTTTAAAATTAACTCCATGGTGTTCATGGATCCCCTCTGAAGAAAGTCTACTGAGATTCCTACCCATCCCACACCCACACTTGGTGTAACTTACTCTCTTCTCTACACTGTTTCCCTACACAAAATAACTGTTATTGAAAGCCTCATCTTTTAAAGTCTATACATCTGTTTTCCAACTTAAATGAGAATTTTGTGGGGGCAGGAATTATATTTTACACATTTTGACATTTCTAGTTTATCACTTGGTTCTGGATAGTCTAGCTGATAAAATAGTAAGTTAAAAATAAAATATAAAAATAGTGCATGAATGTTTGCAATGCATGTATATTATGTATATGAACAAGGTCTTTATTGAAAAAATTTTAGAAATTTTAAGAGTATTAAAATGGAATTTAAAATTATGACTATTATAATACACAAATAGTTTGATATTTTACTGTAAATATTACATTATTTTTCCAGTTCCAACAAAAAAAATCTTTTGAATGAAAAACTGTGATGTGTGTATCATTGCATTAAGTTGGGAAAGAAAATAAGGTCACATATATTCTAATACTTACAATTAAGTAGATTGAGCCCTATCCAGAGCACTATTTTTTTTTCTTTCTTGTTGTCCTTCCTGTGGTAATATTTTGAAACAAAAAAGGTAAAAGAAGCAATCCGAGGGGGTTCCAGATAGAATTATCTTTTGAAAATAGCTGTAATTTGGATATACCCAAGTGTGGATGCTGAAGTCAAAGTCTACAGTGATGCCTCAACCCTAGTGAATGGATTGCGTGGTTGCTTGTGGCTCCTTTTTAAAATTATTACTTTAGGGGATCTTCCCACACCCTGAGCTGTTATTTTTAAAACATGAATTTGTTTCTATCACCAGATTTTTCATTTTAATAGACACAATTAGAAGAAATATTTGACTTTTTTTCTGATTCTACCACAAGAAAAATAATTGTGTGTTGATAAATGTTTAAGGACAAACGACCTCAGTAATGAAGAGGAAAAATGGAGGGACAAGGGTGATGATGAACTGGGATGCAGAGCCTACCTTTTCCTCAGTAACAGCCAACGGGTGCCTTGACAGAATTTGTGTTTTAAAATATCAGTGACCATATCAACTAAACAAACAAGACTCTTAAAGTGAACACTGCAAGGTCCAAATGAAACAGATCTGCAAGCCTTCCTGGTTATGTTTTCTTCCCAGAAACTTC